ATCAGTGCTTATTTCTTTAGTATTTTTCTCTGTTTCAAGGATCAGGATGATATGAACAAGATAAGTAGAATAAAACATTCAACTGTTGGATATTTGAACTAATCCAAAATGAGCTCTTATCGTTAGCGTAAGGCATTACGTATGCCCGCAGGCCGAAATAAACATCTTATATCCTGTTTTCTCAAAGAGCCACAACAAAAGAAGGTATCTCAGTTAAAAGAAGTCTTTTAATAACCCAAGTCTGACTCAATATCCAAACCCAAGTCTCAGACTTGGGTACCCAATACCCAAACCCAAGTCCAAGACTTGGGTACCCAATACCCAAACCCAAGTCCAAGACTTGGGTACCCAATACCCAAACCCAAGTCCGAGACTTGGGTACCCAAACCCAAACCCAAGTCTCAGACTTGGGTACCCAATACCCAAACCCAAGTCCAAGACTTGGGTACCCAATACCCAAACCCAAGTCCGACCCAAGTAAGGAATGTTAGTACAATAAATTTATAGAGATTTATCTGGACTGTTCTCAGTCATGGACTCGACAAAAAATGTAAAGTGTTGATACATGTTTACACTTGTATTTCTATATATGACATGATTAACTCATGTATCTGTTATCATTCATGACATTTTATCTAGATACATATAGTACGTTTTTGTAAAGTAAAAACGTGATTGTAGCACATCGTACAATGTTAATTAATATGAACGGCAGCACTCTTATGACTTATTACACTTCAACTTTTCTTTATCCTACCGTTTCTTACTTCAACTCTAGAGTCGCTTACCTCGTACTATCACAGTAAAGTAGAACCAGGTACCACAAATGCAACATTTACTTTTGAGTTTTTCTATTTTTCAGATCATTTTTTTTAAAATTAATAATCAATCCTCATGGATTCTGATGTCATTAATAAATATTTACTACATGCTGATGATTGTTAATCATTATTTGAACAAAATTTACTAGCAAGTGGTGGTAGATCGGCTGTATCAACAGTATGTAATTCATTAAACGATATTTATAATGCCAAAGATTGGAATGATGATCCAATAAAGGCTATTGCCACAAGTTTGAGTATTCAAATACCAACAACATTGAAATTAGATATATTAAGACAAAAACGAGATGAATTACAAAAAGAGAAAGAACTATTGGAAAAAGAACAAAAACAACAACAGAAAAAACTAAACTTTTTATCCATCATCAATGCATATAGTTTTGAGCAGTAGCATATATTATTTTATGCAATTTGCATGATTTTACCCTTATTATTATTCAGGATTATTAAGCGGGTTTATTCAATATACAGATGCCAGACTTAGTCGAAAATGGATATCAATATTTGATATAATATACGTTTTTGCTAATCTCACTCGACGTTATAGGCGGAAGAGGAATTTATGGGAATTGAACCACTATTTTACACTTTTAATTCACATTTTTTCCTTGCATATACTTATTTTGATTAATGTTCTGATGTATATACTGCATTTTTACTGATCAGTAATTACTGGGTTTTTATTCTTTTTAAACATTTTACGTACTGGCCAGTTTACTCAGGGATAAAAAAACGGCCTCTAAATTTTGATTATAAACAACATATTGCAGTGTCTCAGCCAGTGCTCCATGATAACAAAACGCAAAAAAGATCTAAATGTCCAATTCTCAAGTTTAAACTAGTCGATATCTACTTGAACTATCGTACTGCAGTAACACTCATGACTGAGCACAGGACATACTTGTCTTCGCTAAGAAAAATACATACAATTTTGTGAATAACGTATAACCACGTTCAATCCATTCAATAGTACAACAGGTAGACAATCTGAAATACCTGTCTCTTCTCTTAATCAACACTAACATGTCTGTTTCTTTTCTTCGCTTTTGCCATCTGTCAGTGGTAATATAAATTCTTCTTCAGATTATGGGAAAGATGACAGACCAATGCTTGTACATCACTCAAAGTAGAACCCATATGAATAAAAGAGATTTTCGTGTTTATTATTCATGTTTGAAGTATTTCTATATGCAAACGACCTCCTGTCAATATTAATCCAATATCTGGCATTTTGGCCACGTTCCAGTTAAAGGAACAAACTGTTAACATTAAACGGAGAGACTACAGAATTATATTTGAAATGGACAAATAATCAGACATGTTGCAGCTACACGGCAAGAAAATAAACGCCCAAAAAAGCGCCCACTAGAAAACGTCCACGAAAAAGCATACTAAAAAAAGCGTCGACAAAACGCAGTCCACAAAAATTCGTCCAAGCATAGTATTTAAGTGCATACCCTAGTAAATGTACTTGAGATAAAGTACTTAGCTACTTGCAACTTTTCTAAAGTACTTGGTTAAGCACGTGTCAAGCATTTTAAAATATTAATGGGATTAACAACTGAACACTTACAGGATAAACTATTAAAAAACACAATTTCCATCACCCTTTGCGTTCTCAAACATCCAACAAACTAAGTACACTCATAGGTTCAAAAAAATTCGAAACGTCTTTCTTTCCTCGTATTATATTTGAGTGGAATAAGTTAGATAATAATCTGAGATCATGTACGAAAATAAAAGAGTTTAAAAATAAATGAGTTTTGACGGAAAATAATATAAAAGTATATAGAATCTACGGTGTGAACAGAAAGTATTATCAGATGTATTACCAGCTAAGATGTGATTTTTCTGACCTAAATTCTCACCTTTTTCGAAGACCCTTAGTTGGAAGTAATCTCTGTCAATGTGGTGCACCTGAGACGGTGGAACATTTTCTTCTTCATTGTCATTTATTTGCGCCTTATCGTACTAGAATGATGAATACCACCACCGACTCCATACCACAAAAAATTAGGATTGACGTTAAAAATCTGCTATTAAAAAATAGGTTTGAATATGATGAATACTCTGCCATCTATTCTGCTGTTATAAAATTATTGAATACTCTAATACTTTAACAACTAACTTACTGTGCATATCCCCTACTTCTTCTTTCTGTCTCCTCTCTTTTATTTTAATTTTTCCTTTGTTTTGTTTTTATAAAACGATAGTTTTTTATTTTGTAGCTGTTCCCATTTGTCTATGTCGCGTTTCTTCAGATAGCCAAGTACAATGCTTTGCGATTTTTGACTATCTGTAATGCTTAGTTCAGCTGACTAATAAATATAGATTAAACTAAGCAAAAGACCAATACTCTTCTTACTGTAAAAAGTGACAATGCTTTTCCAAAAACGAGCTTCGCACACTAAATGTCCCGTGAGATTTTCGATTTTGTTATTCCGAAATTTCCGTTAATACTCTAGTTTTCTCGGCGATTTTCTCACCGCTTTTTTTCTCCATTGATGTAGGGTTTATGTCCAGAGGACGGGGGTCGATAAGAGCCAAAATCGACCAACTCTCATCATGTACAAAACTGAGCCTATGCGATATCTTGGAAATCCGTGGTTCGGAAGCTATGGACGTTTTTCCCGAAGCCTCAGCACTCCTCTGCCGTTCGGTTTGGGACTGTCAGAAATTAATGAAAACATAGGTTATCGACTATACTGAATCCCCCGATAATGTTAGCTTACAGAATCAACTATAAGAACCGAGTGAAAAAACCTATACCAGATGAAATAACCCATTTTTGATTATTTTCATCAAAAATTAAAAATACTCTTAACTCAGTCGAAATCCATCCAATTTTGAGCCTAACTGACTGACCGACAGACATCATATTACTTCTGCACATACGTCATCTGAGGTAGAACTTCTGAAAAGTGCTCAAAATAAGTCTTCTTCCGAACATCAATATTTCTACTTTCTACTGGCTCTTAAGTAGATGTCATTGTTATTAGAGCTGTCTAAATTTTCGCGAAGGTGTTCATCATAAAAGCTTCAATATGGTTGATTCAGGAGAAGCGAGTTGCGTCAATCTGGACAGAAGGGAACATAAATGGCTGGATTTTCTTTAATGATAGATTTTGCCCTCATGGTTAGCTATGTATAACTTTGATCTATGTTCGAAAGATAGCACCTTTCGTTCTCGCTGGTCTTGATTAAGCCGTAAAGGTAATACTGGTCAAAATATTGAATGAATGTTTGCATCTTTCAGCTTTTTCCATGTTAGGCGGTCATACATTGCTGCACCATACTACTGTTATTTTGAGCACTTTTCGGAAATTCTAACTCGAATGACTTATGCACAAAAGTAGAATATCAGTAATCTGACTGATATTCTCATAATTATCGTCGTGCTGATTACCGAATAATTGATATCTGGATAGTCTCTTGAGACCGAGAACGTACGACGGTGTTCGTGTACAAAAATTGTGTAAATTATCGACGGTTCTAAACGGTTTTGATTCCATGCTGCATCTAATGGATTATCCATCGTTCGCTCTCGATGATGATAGCAATGGGGAGTCTCCTTCGCAGAATCAAGGAATATTTCAACTTGTACAAATCTCGATAGCATTAGAATCAACCGCCATAGTCTTACGTTTCGAACGGATGAGAATGGATGAGTTACTTTAGAAAATTATCGTGGTAATTTTCGAGGTATTGGCCTTGATGTCCGAGACTATTCTCTTCAGGAGGGAAAAAGGTGACAATGATCACTTTGATTATAATGAGCAATGATTATAAAGAGGGTTACCAGCTGAGTTTGCTGCCAAAAACAAGCTTTTAAGTTTCAAAAGCAGTTTCGAGGCAGTTCAGGTGCATAATATGCGAAGCAAATCGACAAAGACAATAGTTGCAATGAAAAACACATTCTAGCAAGCAATGAAAATTCTCACACCGTTTAAACACCTTCGACATCCTTGATATCTAGTCTGTCGTTCAACAGCGTTTTCAATTATCGATGATGGTAGAATGGATCACGGAAATGGTTCACCAAGATTCAAGAACCAAATGCTGTACCACACAATCACGGTCGACCCCAAGTCACTATGTAAAACATTGTCAGAGCCACAACCGTCAAAATGTTATTTCGCCTACTCCCAGCGAGAACCTTTCGTATAATATTGAATTAGATACCGAATAATACGATCATCTGATCACCCTGAACTATCTAGTTGTTTGCTATCTTGTTCTATTGCAACGTTTTGTCGTACTCACCTTTCTCCTTGTAAACTAATGCAATATTATTACATGTAGTTGCTACAGATGGATGTGTTGAGGGTAATGCTTTCACTGCAATCTCGAGTGACTCTTCATAATACTTTATTGCTTTATCGTATTCACCTTTCTTATGGTAGATTAACCCAATGTTGTTATACGTAATTGCTAATGATACATCATCTAATGATGATGAATTCAATTCAATTTCCACCATTTTTTCATAATATTCTAATGCTTTGTCGTAGTCATCGTTCTCATCGTAAACTGATGCAATACTCCTATATGTAGTTGCCAGTGATGCATGATCTAACGGTAATGAATTCAATTCAATTTCAAGTGTCTTTCCATAGTACTCTAATGCTTTCTCGTATGCACATTTTTCATCGTAAGCTGTTGCAATATTATTATACGTAATTGCTAATGATCGATGTGTCGGTGGTAATGACTTCAGTTCAACGGCAAGTGTCTTTTCATAATACTGTAATGCTTTGTCGTATTCACCTTTCTTATGGTAAGCTAATCCAATATTGTTACATGTAATTGCACATGACGGATGATTCAATGGTAATGAGTTCAATTCAATTTCAAGTGTCTTTTCGTAATATTCTAATGCTTTGTTGTATTCACCTTTCTCCTCGTAAACTGATGCAATATGCTTATAGATAGTTGCTAAAGATGGATGTTTTGGTGGTAATGACTTCAGTTCAATGGCAAGTGTGGATTAGTTTTCATAATACTCTAATGCCTTATCGTATTCACCATTCTTATCGTAAACGAATCCAATATTGTTATATGTAATTGCTAATGTTGAGTAATCTAATGGTGATGAATTCAATTCAATTTCAAGTGTCTTTTCATAATACTGTAATGCTTTGTCGTATTCACCTTTCTCTTCGTATTTCATGAAGAAGGAAATATTTTCGGACGAATGTTTTCGACATGATCATCATTGGATCTACTGCCTTTGTTCAACCCCCCTTGGGCGATTCCAGTTGACATCTCGAACTTTTGTTATACAGTAGT